GAGAGAGAGAGAGAGAGAGAGAGAGAGAGAGAGAGAGAGAGAGAGAGAGAGAGAGAGAGAGAGAGAGAGAGAGAGAGAAATGGACACCCACATGATGGCCATGACGTCCAATGCACGGCATCATACGGAGAACGTTAGGTCGCGAAGGTGGGACCTTCATGGCTGTACCATTAGCCTGCCCTCTTTGTTTCACATGTGTATTTTGTCGTTAGGAGAGTGTGTTATGCGAGGGAGCCTCCCTCCCACCGCCTGGCCTTGCTGTTATGGGTGAATGTCATTTTTTCTTCCTTCCTTAAAATAGTCAAACGGCCCCTTTGAACTGAGCCTAGGGCGATCCCCAGGACAGTTGACCGGCTTCTTAAAAGACGGACAGAACGTGGTAGATTCCGACACTCGAAAACGAAAAAAAAAAAAAAAAAAAGAAATCATTCCGAGGCTCGAAAGGTGGGCGTCGGGAGAGGGGAGAGGGGATGTGGAACGTAGGCGGGAAAGTTTCTCGATCGATCCTAATTAATTAACATTCGCTACTAAAAAAAAAAAAAAAAAAAAAACATTCGCTACTAGTAGAAGCGCCGCTGGAGGATCTGCAGCCTGGCTGACTATCGGTGCGGCTTTTCACAACCTTACAGTTCTTTTTCTCCGGCGCGGGCCGTTGCACGTGGCGTGGGAGTATAGACGAGTGCAGACACTGATCATCATGCAAACAATCGGACGGCCATCTCTCTGATCGGCCGCCCGGGAGAAAAGGGGAGGATCATGCTTTGCTCCTCAAGAAGAGGAGGATCATGCTTTGCTTCTCAGGAAGAGGAGGAGATGGATTGTTGGCCCTCAGGAAGAGGAGGAATATGCGGGCTGGGCTGACACACGCATTCGCGTGACCCGATTCTTTTAGCGCCATTTTGCTTTTTTCCTCCCTCACGCCAGCTTCGTCCGGTGGTCGTTTACATCTACCGCTCACACGCGCGGTTCCTCCGTTAATTGCTCCTCTCATTTGTGAGGTCGGGTTGCTGGGAAGAGGATTTCCAGCCTTTGATCGTTCGCAACAAAGGTGGGCAACACTCATCCTGAAGGCCGGCGTCTCTCTCTCTCTCTCTCTCCGTAGTTCTTTTCTCTGTATCGCTCTGCTTTCTCTCTCTCTCCTCTGCCTCTATCCCTCTCGTCTCTCTCTCACCCCCCTTCATCCGGTCTTCTTCCGGTTTTTGTTTTCTTCCCTTCGTCGTTTCTGCCCCTTTCTCTCATTCTGTGCCCTGTTTTCTCTTACGCTATCGGTTTTGAAGATTTTCCTTTCGCATAAGCACTGGCTGTGCTTGGTGGTACAGCTCTCTTAGCCCACCTTTCTTCTTCTCCGAACCTTTTCTTTTCTCGTTCGTTTGTGCGAAACCTTGTTCCCCCCCGCCACTCCGTTTAAGTTGCGCTCTCTCCGTGGTCTGGTATCTGCTCACGCAGAGTGACGTTATTTCACTTCCTCTCCTCCTTTCCACTTGCTCTCCAGCTATTCTCCGATTTCCATCGTTTCTGTCTGTCTTCTCTTTTTCCGTCTTTTTATGTTCCCATGCCTGCCTTGCCTTCTGCGGCCTAGTTGCACCACTCGCCATCCGCCATCATTTTGAATGCATCTGGACGGCTGTTCTGTCCACATGCATTCAAAATCTTGGCCGATGGCGAGTAGTGCAACTACCTTCTTCCCCCGAATACAACGTACGGTCATTATAGCTATACATTCGGGGCATCTTTCACTCTAAATACACAGCTATAATGACCGTTCGTTGTATTCGGCCGAAGAAGGTAGCCCCTGTATCTGGTGCTGGTGTTTGTTTCCTCCGGATCTCACTCGTCATTTTCGCACAATCAATCATTGCCTCGTCTATTGCAACGTCGTCCCATGCTAACTGGTTTTCCCCACCTTTTTTCGTCTCCCTCTTGATCTATATTCCCCTGCCTGGCTCCGGTGCAAGTTGTTGTCACTTGCACGAGAGCCAGGCTGCTGACGGAACCTGCTTGATCTCTATTACCCTGTCTCCGCTGGAAATCATCATCATCAGTTTCCCGAAACCATGCTAACGGAACCTTGTAGTGTCGCTCTCCGCTGCAATATCATCATCAGTTACCCGAGTGCCAGACAAACGGAATCCGTTAGCCGAGAGCCAGCCTCACGGAATGTTTGTGAGTCTGGCTTCGCTGCGATCATCATGTCCCCTATGGTCACACGAACGGAACCCGATCGCGTGGTTCCACTGCAAATCCGAAATTACCTGATGCCATCGTCCAGCGGCGAAGAAACAGAGCAACGTCCTCTCACTAGTCTGTGGTATTACGGCGCCTTACTTCCTGCGTAGGAAGATCTCTCTCTCTCTCTCTCTCTCTCTCTCTCTCTCTCTCTCTCTCTCTCTCTCTCTCTCTCTGGTCCCCCCCTCGTTATTACACAAACGCGCACACACACGCACACACACGCTTCTGACGAGTTGGTGAAAGACCGACGAAACAGTTTAGCACAGGCGTGCCCTTTTTGTGGAGTTGTGTCTTGCGAATGATAACAACAGACGCATCATCATCATCATCATCATCATATCATCACACTCACACACCCGGTTGATGAACCGGTGAAAGTTTGACGAAACAGTCTTCTGTCTCAGCTACCACTTTCTTTGTGGAGCTGTGATTAGCGAATGCGACAACACAGTGTCACGTGCGCACACACACACACACACACACACACACACACACACACACAGACATGAATGTTTCCCTTCTTACTCCCTGTTTTCTTCCTCCTCTCGTGGTTGCCATTGGTCAAGTTGAGCTGCGGGACGCTTGTGCACATGGGCCGAGGATGTCACGTCTTGTTGTTGCGTGCTTGTGCTCGATTGGATGTGGTTGCATCGTGAAAATGCGCGTCTCCGTTGCTATGTTGCAGCTAGGAGAAGAAGATGCCAGGTACGTACGCACAAAATTCCTGGTCATAAGACAATGAAGCTGAGCTGCCTGTATTTGGATGTGCTGAGGCTAGCGAACGCCGCAGAGCAGTCAGGGCGTCCTCACACGAGCAGCTATCTTACATGTATCTGACCGCATTTACGGCAAGACTTGTATGCATCTGGCCGCATCCCCGTCCAAAAGTAAGTAAAATACTACTACCCGGTAGTGTGAGTATGCCCTCAGCAGTATGGATCGGACGCGTCTGTGGGCCTCGCTCCAGTACTCTCCAGATGTGCAAAATGAGACCGAATCCTCCGCTAGAACATGGAAAGAAACATTGCCAATTTTTTGTCTGTTGTGCATGTGGACAGTAGTGGAGCGAGGCCCTTTTTCAGCCAATTGGGTTATATGTGGCCTCGGTCCACTACAGAACAGTCTACATGCATCTGGACGGTCACTCGACCATGTGCATTTGGACGAGTCCAACATTTTTGAATGCATCCGCTCCAGAAAGGAGTCCAAATGCATGTAGAGTCTTGTATAGTGGAGGGTCGCCCATACTATGGGCGCGGACGATGTGTTATGTGCAACCCAACTGCGGGGATAAACGGGAGATTCGTAGATAATCTTCCCAACGCTCCAAGCATACAGGCCGCTGAGGGCGCCCAGGATGAGTTTGTAGATAAAGTGGCCAAGCAGATGTGGGACATTGAAGGGTGAAAGGTGGATGGCTATGGGGTAATTGGGTGAGGTGCAGGGGTGAGGTGTGGTGCTGCCGGGTTGCCGTGGCTCTGGAGCACGGAGGTGCTCTCTCCCCCCTTCAAGAGGGAGGTGGGGACACAGCACTTTTTGCACGCTAGCAACCATGACCCTGCACGACCTAGTAGGGCGAGATTGATGATGGGGACAGGGCGAGATCCGCATGATGGGGACAGGGTGAGATTGGCGATGGGGATGGAACGTATAC